AACTCCAATGCAAAAATGCTATCTAATCAGCTGAGAGACACCTTTCCGCTTTTCATCAACATGACTGATGCTAACCTTCAGGAGAGAGATTAGCATTTCTCGCTGACATGAAGTGAACGACTATATTGAATCCATTGCGAGGTTAGCTGCGTTGTGCTAGATATTCTTATCTCTAGAAACTATAATATATTTTATCTCCAGAATCTATCATAGATCTATAAGTCTATCATTCGTCATACTTAGAATGTTGCTGCCACATAACGTCTGGAAGTGTTTCTCAATAAAATGCAAAAAAGAATAAGCAATATTTTTGTTCCTGGGCTGGCATTTCGACATTAGCCTCTTTCCCACCGTTGTAAATTTTCTTCACTGTGCCATTTCTATAAATATTTCCATGATAATTTTTCTGATCAACTAGGAGGTACCTAGATTTTATGAAATTAAGCACAGTGTTAGATTCGCAATGAAGTCTCCTCAATTTACATTTGAACTGGCAAGATGTAACCGCAAGTTCTATGCTAATAGTTTCTCTTCTCAAAATTCATTGTGAACTTTTCTATAAATACTTTCATGGCAATTGTTTGCAATGAGCTCTTTGTTATGGCATTTAGAATTTATGGATTTAAGAATAAGAAAAATTAAAGAATGCGCATTTTCTTGTTCAGAAATTCTAGAAGTGCATACCTACCCGAAAGTACATATCCGCCGATTTTCATTTTCCTATTCAAAAGTCAAACATATCATTCCGAAATTAAATGATGCATTTTGTTTTTAATCAAACAGTACTTCTCATCAGACTATTCTAACTTACATTCGCTATAGCGTTAAACAATTTGACGATTTGGATCAGAAGTCCCTAAGTATTTGTCAATCTCTCTCACTCATTTTATATATATATATATATATATATATATATATATATATATATATATATATATATATATATATATAAAAGAAATATAGTCTTAAGGTGTGCTATATTTATGGGATAAAGTGCTCAATATCAGAGATAGAGCGTGTGTAAATATAAAAGTGAACATAGAAGTCAACACTTATATATATATATATATATTTCACTCTTCCGTCGAATTCGACGTATGAGGTTCAAGCAGATAAGTTCCTAAGAAACTGACAGCATGACATCAGCACATAAGATTTGATTATAGTGGTGAAGGTTCTGTACAGAACCATCCACATTTTTGAAGGGCCGAATACAGAGATCTGGTGCACTACGTGCCACAGGGTCCCTAAACGGCTCTCCGCAGATTTTGAATTTTGAGTTGACCCTCAGTCTGTCCTGCTTTTACCCATAGCTGGAGGGAGAAGAAGATTCACAACTTTCCCAATGGTTAAGTGAATGTAATAGGTTCAACTGGAATTCGAACTCGGCTCTCCGATTATATAATCCCAACTGCTACTGGTTACTCCACCGTGCCTAATAATATAAAGTATTCACATTGATCCACAAAAAGAGATCAATGTATTTATTATTACGGAGCAAATAATTGGTACACATAAAATCCAAAATTACCTCATATAAGGAATAAGATTATTTCAACCGAAGAAATTCGTCAGTCTTATTCAACCCCATTATAGATTGAGATCGTGTCAAAATTAGAAAGTTAACCGTGAAAGAAACCAACTCAAACGTCGAAAACTATTACAGAATTAATCCATTTCAATTTTTCAGTCAGACGAATAGCACGAGGTGTTTGTGTGTTCGTGTGTTTCTATGTGTGTGTGTCTGTATACCTGCTTGTTTCATAGAATAATATAAATATATTAAATTGCATAAAGCATTTAATGTCATTTAACATTTCAACCAGTTTTCGGTCCGCTTCCATTCATTGAAAAACTTATTTTGCAAAAAACTTCATATCTACAATGGATAAATTTATAAATTCTAAATAATTACAGAGTGCGTTCCCGCTTACTTTTAAAAATCCCTATTAAAACAGAATGCAGATTTTATCGCAGTTACAATAAGTTTGCCTTGTAATTCATTCCTGAAGATGATCTTGGAAAAGATCGAAACTACTCGGGTTAACAAAAACTCCTACGCCTTACTTGATGAATTTCATGTTTGAATGAAGATATCGTACCTAAATACAAATACACACACACGTAGGGGGCACAGTCCTATGGTTACAGAGAACGCAGTATGGTTCCACCACGGAATATGTGAGCGAGCGGCGCGATATTGAGTCTGATTTGCAATCTCTTCGTCACCGAGGAACAGTTAGTATGATGTTTGCTTGACAAGCTAACTGTCAGGGTTTCAATTCTCGGTAGTGGATGCACACTGCTGATGAGTCCTAAATATAGGACGAAACGGCTGTACATTGCTTTCTGCATTCTGTTGAGGTTTCTATCAGACTCGATTAATTGAATATATATATATATATATATATATATATATATATATATATATATATATATATATATATTATTATGGAAATAGACAAATTCCGACAATTATGTTTATACGTTCTTTTTATAGATACAAATATTTAAGTAAATGCTCTGTTTATAATAAACAGTATTAACGACATTTACCGGCCTGAATGTCCGAGAAATTTTCATAGAAAATATGCGTCCTCCCACGGGAATCCAACCTGTATCCTATAATTGTCGGACTTTGTCCATTTCATAATGTATGACGTCATTTGTTTACATTTCGATACGCATCGAGCAGATATGAATGTACGAGCGAAAAGCATGGAGAATTGTAGTTTAAATACAGTAAAATCGACATTGCTAATCGAAACGCTCCTCTGTGGCTCAATCGGTAAAAACCCGTCAGGTCATATGACCTTTCCGTATAGGATACAGGTTCGATTCCTGTCGGAAGACGCATATTTTCTATAAAAATTTTGAACGTTCAGGTCGGTAAATGTCGTTAATACTGTTTATTATAAAACAGAGAATTTACTTAAATATTTGTATCTATAAAAAAAAACGTGTGTCTGTGTGTGTGTATATATATATATATATATATATATATATATATACACACACACACACGAATTGATGCCGTATACAAACCAAAATATGAATTGGTATCCGAGGAAGGATAGGTTAATGAATGAATATGTAACGTTTTTAAAGCTATCATGTTTTGCTTTTATTAAAACTTCATCAGCGATAAAGACTGAAGATTGTATTGTTCATACCTTGAACTTTGTTTCTTTTTTATCTTTCTTGTAACATGTCTTGTTAAAACATTTATTAATTTATTTTTGCTTGAATTGTATGATTTGTATCATTTTTACCTGGACTGTTTGCGTGATAAATGTCCCAAGAGCCAGAAAATTATAATATTCTCTTTCTCACAAGTTTAAAAAAAAAATTCCATGAATAAAATGGAAATTTATCTACCGTTTTCAGATGATATATTAATAAATTTAATTGTACTAATCATTGCTTTATAAACTTAATTTCAAATCCATTCAAAAGCTTAAGAAATAAAAAGTGATATTTCATTTTTATTATTATTAAACCCGTAGAGCGTCTCTTAAATCGTAAATACTGATACTTTTTTTTTTTTAAAAATATAACAAAAAATTAAATAATTCTTTTCTATTTTTTAGATAATGAAATATTTAACAAATATTACCGCGGCTTGATTTGTTAGGAAAATGACTTTTTGATTTTATCGATACGGGGAGGCTGCCCAAGGGTTTGTCAGTTTTTCAAACTGCTCGTAAACTATATCACAGTTTTACCCAAGTATTGGCACTGAAATTGGATCGGTAGAACACTTTGGAAGCCGTCGATGACTTTAATACCAAGTCATTTTGACCAATGGCTCGCGTGTACTAGACTTGTTCACATTGTTCATTATGTCCTCTCTCCCAGAAAATCTTATTATTTTCTGCTCAGTATAGTTGCAGTATAAACCACTGGTGGGATATGTTCGTGTCGAACAAACTCAAATGTGAGCAGGCGTCTGAATCAGCGATTGTCTAGCCACCTTGATTGAAGAATGTGCAAAGAAACGAGAAGGTAGCTAGGACTGTGGAAATGCATTTAAATGTCGCTTTAGAAACAGATTCGATACTACAGTGTGGTCCGAAAGTCTTGTCACTTTCTACCATCTTCTAATGAGAAGAACAGAGAAAAAATTAATATTATTATTGCCTGAATGCACACGGTCATGTGTCCATACACTTGCAAGCACTCTCTTCCAAACTGTTGGAGCTTAGGCATTTGAAATAGAAAATCATGTAATATAGGGGTGACAAGTCTTTCGGACCACACTGCAGTTTCAAATCCAACAGCAAAACTATTTAGTTACAGATCAATAAAATAAACGGAAATTACAAGATATGAAACAATTTCCACTTTGCTTCAAATTAATATTATAATGACAGGAAAATAATACGGTATTTTACGCTCGACAATGGAGAGATCAGCTGACTAAATGGTCTCCACCTAACGCGATAATCCGTTTTAAAGATAAAAGATGACAATCACTGATTATCAGGAAACCCGTGGCGAACAAAGATCTTTCAATCGAACTGACCTCTTTGCAGATCATTTGAAGCTTTGCAACGCTTTCTCGAGTCACCGTTATTTGTTGCAGGCAATCAAAAAATAAAAAGAATGAACGTAAAAAGGATGTGAGAAAGCTTGTATCACGATAACTTGTGTGTCTCTGGGCGAGGCACAGCGGTGGTAAAAGCGAAAAGTAGGCTATTGAGTTCAGAGATTTTATCGGAATTGTTTGATCATTTGGACTTCTCTATTTCCTTTTGCCTAGTCATTTATTTGTATTCTTTTTCTTTGTTTTTTTTTTCAAGACCGCAGGAAGGTGAATATATTTCTATCATTTTATTCACTTTTCACTTGCACTCACATTTTAGCAGGTAACATAAATCAATAGATAGATAGATAGATAGACAGATAGATAGATAGATAGATTCTATGAGAGGCTTAGATATTGATGTCTTCAAATTAGATACATACAAACATGGTTATGAAATGGATAACATAGGCATTTAGATAGATATTGTCAGATGGTTAATGGATATATATGTCTTCAATTTGGATAGATAGATAGATAGATAGATAGATAGATAGATAGATAGATATATCCTATGAGAGGTTTAGATATTGATGTCTTCAAATTAGATACATACAAACATAGATATGAAATGGATAACATAGACATTTAGATAGATAGATATTGTCAGATGGTTAATGAACATATATGTCTTCAATTTGGATAGATAGATAGATCCTATGAGAGGCTTAGATATTGATGTCTTCAAATTAGATACATACAAATATAGATATGAAATGGATAAGATAAACATTTAGATAGATAGATAGATAGATAGATAGATAGATAGATAGATAGATCCTATGAGAGGCTTAGATATTGATGTTTTCAAATTAGATACAAACATAGAAATGGATAAGATAGGCAATTATTTATATATATATATATATATATATATATATATAGATATAGATATAGATAGATATTGACAGATGGTTAATGGATATATATGACTTCAACTTGGACAGATAGATAGATAGATAGATAGATAGATAGATATTATGACATGGTTAAATAGATATAGATGTCTTGAAATTGGATACATACAAATATAGATTGATATGAAATGGATAGGATAGGATAGATACATAGATAATGTGTGATCTTCAATAGGTATAGATTTTTTTTCATATGAATAGATATAGATGTTTTTCATATTAAATGCGTAGACAGGCACACAGATAGATAGATAGATAGATATGAGATGGCTAAATAGATATAGATGTCATCATATTAGATACGTACAAACATATAGATACGAAATTCATAAGATATATAGATAGATGATAGATATAATATATATATATATATATATATATATATATATATATATATATATATATATATTGGTTTCAAATATATAGTGACATGCATAGAGAGGAAATAAATTAGATAGGGATAAGATAGGTAGATATATATGATGAGATGGGGAAATACAAATTAGATATATACAAACATAGATATAAAGCACCTTTGATTGATACATACAGGATGGTGAGGCAAAACTTGCATAATTTCAATATTGAAATAAAAACTCTTATAGTTGATTATTTAGTTTATTTCAAGAAATACGAAGGGTTCCAACATACAAATACAAAACGATAAAATAATTATCTACTGCACCCAACTGAAATTTCTATAATACTTCTCCAGAAAACCAGAGGGCATCTTGTTCCATTATTTTCCGATGGAATCCATAAGAGAGTTAACGTTTGCATGCGAGGGTCTAACGTTTGGATGACTGGGACTAACGTTTGGATAAGGGGGTCTAACGTTTGAATGAGTGGGTCTAACTTTTGTATAAGAAGGTCTAATGTATAAATGAGTGGGTCTAAAGTTGGGATGAGTGGGTCTACTGTTTACATGATGTCTAACGTTTGGATGAGAGGGCCTAACGTTTGGATGAGAGGGCCTAACGTTTGGATGAGTGGGTCTAACGTTTGCATGGGAAGGTCTAACGTTTAGATGAATGGATCTAACGTATGGATGAGTTGATCTAACGTTTGGATGAGTGGGTCTAACGTTTGCATGGGAGGGTCTAACGTTTAGATGAAGGGTCTAACGTATGGATGAGAAGATCTAACGTTTGGATGAGTGGGTCTAAGGTTTGCATGGGAGGGTCTAATGTTTAGATGAAGGGGTCTAACGTATGGATGAGAAGATCTAACGTTTGGATGAGTGGGTCAAACGTTTGCATGAGAGGGTCTAACGTTGGGATGAGAAGGCCTAACGTATGGATGAGAGGGTCAAACGTTTGGATGATTTGTTCTCACGTTTGCATGAGAGGGTCTGACGTTTGGATGAGAAGATCTAACGTTTGGAAGCGTGGGTCTAACGTTTCGATGAGAGTGTCTAACGTTCGCAGGGTAGATCAAACGTTTGGATGAGAGTGTCTAACGCTTGCATGAGAGGGTTTGACGTTTGAATGAGAGGGTCTAACGTTTGGATGAGAAGGCCTAACGTATGGACGAGAGAGTCTAACGTTTGGATGACTTGGTCTAACGTTTGCACGAGACGGTCTATCGTTTGGATGAGAAGGCCTAACGTACGGATGAGAGGGACTAACGTTTGTATTAGTCGGTCTAACGTTTGCATGAGAGGGTATAACGTTTGGAAGAGAAGGTCTAACGTTTGGATGAGTGAGTCTAACGTTTGCATGAGAGGATCTAACGTTTGCATGAGAGGGTCTAACGTTTGAATGAGAAGGTCTAACGTTTAGATGAGAAAATCTAACGTTTGGATGAGTGTGTCTAAGGTTTCCATGAGAGGGTTTAACCTTTGGATGAGAGGGTCTAACGCTAGAATGAGTGGGCCTAAAGTTTGGATGAGTGGGTCTAGCGTTTGAATGAGATGGACAAGCGTTCGGATGAATGGGGTCTAACGTATGGACGAGAGGATCTAACGTTTTGATGACTGGGTCTAGCGTTTGGATGAGAGCACCAAACGTTTGGATGAGAAGATCTATCGTCTTAATGAGTGGGTCTAACGTTTGCATAAGAGGTCCTAATGTTTGGATGAGAGGGCCTAACGTTTGGATGAGCGGGTCTAACGTTTGGATGAGAGTGTCTAACGTTCGCAGGAAAGGGTCTAACGTTTGGATGAGAAGATCTGACGTTTGGATGAGTATGTCTAACGTTTGAATAAGTTGGTCTAACGTTTGCATGAAAAGGTCTAACGTTTGGATAAGAAGGCTTAACGTATGGATGAGAGGGACTAACGTTTGAATGAGAGCTTCTAACGTCTGTATTAGTCGGTCTAACTTTTGGATGAATGGGTATAACGTTTGCATGAGAGAGTCTAACGTTTGGATGAGAGGGCCTAATATTTGGATGAGTTTGTCTAACGTTTCCATGATAGGGTCAAACGTTTAAATGAGAAGGTCTAACGTTTGGATGTAGGCGTCTACCGTAAGGATGAGAAGGTCTAACGTTTGGATGAGAAGGTCTAACGTTTGGATGACTGGGTGTAACGTTTGCATGACACGGTCTAACTTTTGGATAAAGGGGTCTAACCTAAGGATGAGAGGGCCTAACATTTCGATGAGTTTGTCTAACTTTTCCATGATAGGGTCTAACGTTTAAATGAGAAGGTCTAACGTTTGGATGAAGGGGTCTACCGTAAGGATGAGAGGGTCGAACGTTTGGATGAGAAGGTCTAACGTTTAAATGACTGGGTCTATCGTTTGCATAAGAGGGTGTAACGATTGGTTGAGAGAGTCTAACGTTTGCATGAGAGGGCCTAACGTTTGGATGAGGGCCTAACATTTGGATGAATGAGTCTAACGTTTGCATGAGAGGGTCTAACGTTTGAATGAGGTCTAACTTTTGGATGAGAAAATCTAACGTTTGGATGAGAAGATCTAACGTTTGGATGAGTGTGTCTAAGGTTTACATGAGAGGGTTTAACCTTTGGATGAGAGGGCCTAACGCTAGAATGAATGGGCCTAAAGTTTGGATGAGTGGGTCTAGCGTTTGAATGAGATGGACAAGCGTTTGGATGAATGGGGCCTAACGTATGGACGAGAGGATCTAACGTTTTGATGACTGGGTCTAGTGTTTGGATGAGAGCACCAAACGTTTGGATGAGAAGATCTAACGTGTTAATGAGTGGGTTTTACGTTTGCATGAGAGGTCCTAATGTTTGGATGAGAGTGCCTAACGTTTGAATGAGCGGGTCTCACGTTTGGATGAGAGTGTCTAATGTTCGCAGGAAAGGGTCTAACGTTTGGATGAGTATGTCTAACGTTTGCATGAGAAGGTCTAACGTTTGGATAAGAAGGCCTAACGTATGGATGGGAGGGACTAAAGTTTGGATGATTGGGTATAACGTTTGCATGAAAGAGTCTAACGTTTGGATGAGAGGGCCTAACATTTGTTAGAGTTTGTCTAACGTTTCCATGAGAGGGTCTAACGTTTAAATGAGAAGGTCTAACGTTTGGATGAAGGTGTCAGACGTATGGATGAGAGGGTCTAACGTGTGGATGAGACGGTCTAACGTTTGTATGAGTGGTTCTAACTTTTGGATGAGATGGTCTAACGTTTGATTGAGAAGGTTTACCGTTTGGATGAAGGCGTAACGTATGGATGAGGGGATCTAACGTTTGGATGAGAGCGCCTAACGTTTGCATGAGAGGGTCCATCCGTTGGATGGGAATGTCTAACCTTTGGATGAGTAGGTCTAACATTTGGATGAGAGGGTCTAACGTTTGGATGAGAGGGCCTAACGTTTGGATGAGAAGTTCTAACGATTGGATTAGTTTGTCAAACGTTTGCATGAGAGGGCCTAACGTTTGGATGAGTGTATCTAACGTCTGCATGAGAGGGTCTAACGTTTCCATGAAAGGGTCTGACGTTTGTATTAGTCGGTCTAATATTTGCATAAGAGGCCCTAACGTTTGGATGAGAGGGTCTAATGTTTGGATGAGAAGATCTAACGTTTAGATGAGGGGTTTTAACCCTTGAATGAGAAGGTCTAACGTTTGGATGAAGGGGTCTAACGTTTGGATTAGAAGATGTAACATCTTGATGAGATGGTCTAACGTTTGCATTAGTGGGTCTAACGTTTGCATGAGAGGGCCTAATTTTTGCATGAGAAAGTCTAACTTTTGGATTAGTGGATCCAACGTTTGCATGAGAGATCCTAATGTTTGGATGAGAGGGCCTAACGTTTGGATAAGTGGGTCTAACGCTTGCCTGAGATGGTTTAACTTTTTGTATGAAAGGGTCTGACGTTTATATTAGTCGGTCAAACGTTTGGATGAGAGGGCCTAACCTTGGCTGAGAAGGCCTAACTTTAGGCTGAGAGGGGATAACGTTTGGATGAGTTGTCTAACGTTTGCATGAGACGGTCTAACGTTTGCATGAGAGGTTCTAACGTTTGGATTAGTAGGTATAACTTTTGCATGAGAGGGTCTAACGTTTGGATGAGAAGATCTAACGTTTGGTTGAGACTGTCTAACTTTTGGGTGAGAAGATCTAACGTCTTGATGAGTGGTTCTAACGTTTGCAGGAGGGGGTCTAATGTTTGCATGAAAGGGTCTGACGTTTGTATTAGTCGGTCTAACGTTTGCATGAGAGGGTCTAACGTTTGCATGAGTGGGCCTAACGTTTGGTTCAGAGGGTCTAACGTTTGGATGAGAAGGTCTAACATTTGGATGAGATGGTCTGACGTGTCGATAAGGGGTTCTAACGTTTGGATGAGAGGTCAAACGTTTGAATGAGAAGGTCTAACGTTTGGATGAGTGTCTAACGTTTGGATGAGGGGTTCTAACGTTTGGATGAGAGTGCCATGTATGTATGAGGGGGTCTAACGTTTGGATGAGAGGGTTTAACGTTTGGATGAGAGGGTAGCATATTCTGAAAAGCCCCAAACAGCATAATCTAAGACGGACAGAAGCGTGATGACCAAAAATCGGTAAAATTGGATTTCCAGATATTCTGTAATTTTTTGGCTGTAAGGACAGCAGCACAATCCTGTGCCCATACATAATTTCCCTCTGGCTAATTAAATATGTGCCATGGTAATACATTTGTATGTCTCCAGTGGATTGTTTATTTTTTAAAAGAGAATGGCTAGAACGTTAAGACACAGCCCGTATATAACTATAATCTTGATGGTAATGCTAGTTTCTGATTAAACTCTACTTTCGAATTTACCAAATGCAACGCTTGCCTTCTCGAATGCCCGAGAAAACCTCAGCATCGAGGCAAACTTATATACGTATATATCCGTGAGTTTTAATTGAATAAAAAATAAACAAAACGTATTTACATTGTTCGCACTGATGTCCTCATCTTTATTGATGGTTAAATGGTTTAAAATCTCTTTGAGCGAATGAAGCCTGTAGTTCTCAGGGAGAACCATACTTCTTCAAATCTTGTGGACTGTATGAAATAACAGAAACGATATCATTTTGGACATTCACCGACAAAAACAAGTAATGTGGTTATCATATGAAGAGAAAATAATGACATAATCAAAATGTTGACGTTCCATACTACTTGAATCAAATGTCCTCATCAATACTGGAAAGAGCGATAACAGCTACAGAGCTGAGAAACCAATTTTCCAGCAAAATAGTTTTAAGAGGAAGTTTTAACAAATTTAGACCGACATCAATTACCCAGTCAATAAATAGAAAGTTTTTCCTAAGCAAACGGCACGTATTAGCATTAGCACTCTTATACGTGTCGTGTGTCATGAGGACGTAGACGATCACGGCTCTCCACAATTTCCTATCCTTTTGATTTTTATTATATTTCCTTTTTTTCATGCATAAGTGTCCATATTTGTTCGACTTTCATATACCATTCTCTAAATGATTTTTTTAAATTTTTTTATGCTAGATCAGTTCCAATGTTTTTAAACATTGTCTTTTTCTTCTTCTATATGCATTGTAATTTTAGGACGTGAGCGATCAATATTCTCCACAACTTCTTTTCTTATAGAGCTTAGCATTGTTTTTATTTTCCTGTCTATCCTAAAGTCTGTCCCGCCAACCACTTATACAAGCTCGTAATGCCTATTATGCGCCACATTTGTCTGTCTCCCTTGACTTCATTATGCCATTTGAGTGTCAAATTTTCTAAGAACTCATTCCTGATTTTTGGGAGGCCTGGTTGGCGTAATGTTTCACGGCTTAGATTGAGGAATCGGAAAGAAAGTTCGAATTCCAGTCGGGTTCACTGCATTCAATTACGTGCTAATAACCTTGGGAAAGGTATGAATCCATACCTTCTCCTTGTCAGATATGGGTAAAATATCAGGAGTAAATGGGTCCTATAGCCATGGTTGTCAACCAGTCTAGAAGAAATAAAAACTGGAATTCAAACTATGCTAACAATGTGTATACATGCCGCTTATGAATCTAAATCTGAAACTCCTGCTACGTGAATAGCCGAATGAATACGAGCTCTGCTACGTTTGACCAACTTTCGTTCAGATATGGCGTCAATTTTCAATACCATTAAAGCAATCTTTACTTTTCTTTGCCGTCACATTCCGTCTTTTGTTAGTGACTATCCGGGTATTTACATTTCAGTACCTGCTCCAGTCTATTTACCAATAGTTCGAGGGCATCAAAAAGATGGAGCCATGCCTTTAAAAAATATTAGAACTTGACTCCCCGAATTTACTAGTCACGCCGATGATCATTACGTTCTGCGTCCATCCATATAATTTTAAAAATATTAAAAATTGATAACTATTTGCACTATTCAGATTGATCGGAGTGTTATCTGCATCTTCATATCTGTCATATTCACAAACTGATCTTGAATTTATACTATAAAGCAGTAAACGTGTTCTGATGCGACAATCACGTATCAGCAGCAATCAAGCCACCTGTTAATTTCAAGCTCAGTTTAATTTTTTGCTGTACGACGTCTGACGTACTTGTGAGCAAGTGTCTTGTTGGCAACTCCTTCTATCTTGTAATTGGCACCTTCATGTAATTTAAGGATGAAGTTCTCTTCATTACCCACTGCTACAAATAACTATATTGACCTCCTCGCCAATGTGTTCCATGTTGGACGGATTTGTTAAGATCTTGTCCTGTCTGAAATCAACAAAAGAATTAACTGGCTCAAGTGGGAATAATAGCCGCAGAAATCTGTTCTATTCGATGAAAATCCAATTTCTTACACAAAACGTCACTTAACCAATCTTCAGAAACGGCAACTTACAGAATTCAAACAAATATTAACTTAAGAAAGCCGGAACGTGCAACGAACGAAACGTTGTGAATATGACAATAACGAGGACAATAGTCGGAATAATCTAAAGAGTATAAATAGTTAAAATAAATCATCTCATAAATACATAAAAAATTTATATATATTGATTAAGAAAATA